TTCTCCTGGGACGCACATATAGACACTGCTGGACATGGTTAGTAGACAAATTCAATAAACTAGTCCTAAAAGTGCACAGGGCCAAACGTGCCCAGAAACACACACACACACACACACACACACACACACACACACACACACACACAGAGCTGAGATCTTCTCTGCTGCCTATCTGACACACATTCCCTAGAGACACAGACAGAGATACAGGGAAATGAGGGGCTGCTGTGACCCATATTCACTTTACAGAGAAAGATCAACGTTAAGCCACAGAAGACAGACAGATAGATAGATAGATAGATAGATAGATAAATAGATAGATGTCACTGCTGACTGTCTGCTAGAAGACACACATTCGCAATGAGTTAATATAGATTGTTATATATAAAGCTAACTATAATGACTACAATTTAACATGAACCTTACAAAAAAAAAAAATTACATTTGTTTTTTTCTGTTGAAGACTATTGAAGGTTCAGCCATATTTACATAACTTTTGGGGGTCAAATTTGTTCCCAAAGTATAACTTAGTAAATTCACATTTTCCCAAAACACGTATGAACAACATGTTAATTTCAACAAACATTTAAATGTGTGGTAATGTGAGTTTATCGCATGTGAAATTAATTTTTCTGACATGTAACGTTGAGAAAATGAGCGTTTCTTGCATGTAATGCTGTGGAAATGATTATATCGTATGCGTAATTTTGTGGAAATTTGTATTTCTTAAGTGTAACGGTGTGGAAATCAAGCGTAGCGTTAGTTCTGGCAGGTCACGTTAGTCAAGCTCGCATCAGCTGACTCTCAGCTGATCCCCATCAACCTATGGGAATATGACACCTATCTAAGCATTCATATATAAGGTCCCTCAGTATTATCAGCAGTTTTCGCATTGCTCAATAGCTAATTACCCTCCTCCATCCCCAGCTCCTCCTCTGTCAGTCAGGATTCAGCCTTCTGATTCTCCTTTGAATCAGACTAATTCTAAAATGTGTACATAACATTATTGAACTTTAACGATATCTGCAATGCATTTATGTTGGTTCTGTTCTGTTTACCCTGGGGGGGTTATCGCTGCTCTCCCTGCTCTCATCCATGCTAGGCTGCACGGATGCGCAGGGAGTTCTTGCCCAGAACAGAACCATACCGCCAATCCAAACTGTATGCTAATTGTCAATCATCTTTGACGATAGTGGTCCTGACAGAAATAAGTTTTTCTTATGTGTAATGCTGTGTAAATTACTTTCTTACGTGTAATGTTGTGGAAATGAGCTTTTCTTTCCCAGAATCTGTTATACTGTAACGTTGTGGAAACTGACATTTCTTGTCCGTGCATTGCTGTGGAAATGAGCGTTTGATACATGTTGTGGAAATGATCGTATCTTTTGAAAACGGGCTTTTTCTTGTGTGTATTCCCGTGTAAATTTACATTTCTTAAACGTAACGTTGCGGAAATTTCTCATAGGTGTATCATTTCTGACGTGTAACGTTGTGGAAATGGACATCTGACAGAGCGTGTCTTACGTGTAATGCTGTGGAAAGGATCGATTCCTTCATATGATCCTGTGCAAATGTGAGCGTTTCTTACGTGTAATGCTGTGGAAATGTGAGTGCGTCCACTGCGGTCCACGATCCGCTGAAAATCCCCATCATCAGCAGCAGACATGCGTGAGCCCATCTCGCCATTTTCCATGAAAACACTCCAATCCAGCCGCACAAATACCCTCACGGTTATCCAGGAGAGCAGAATATCCAGATGCAACGCGGTAGTAAACGCTCTTGTTGTCTGAGAAGAAACAATGATATCGGTGGGCGAAAGATGCTGCGCGTGATGATGCTGCCGTGCACGAGCGCTTGCGACACCCCACAGATCTGCGCGCGACCCCATTCATTTCCCCAAAAGACATCCACTTAATATCCATTAATTCATACAAACACTGTAACACATTGCAGCAAAAAAGAGAATACATTGTTATTCATATTTAATATATAAAACAAACCTCACGTGTTTCAAAATAAAATGAATGGAAGAGTGGGAATGAACAAAACTATATTATATTTTGTGAGCAATTTTTAACCATTTGGAAATATTGCACATATAGTCGTTGGATGTATGCATAATTTGATTATTTAATTCAATTATATTACAAACTTACGAATGAATCAGATAAGTTAATTAGTAGATTAAATGTTTGTATCTAATTCATGTAATGCAAAAGCATTCTGTCTAATAATGATAATTCATTCAAATGCATTACATAATCTGTACACTAGCAGGGAAAGTCTCAGCAGTGGTGACGATCAGGGAATATGGTGGAGCACAGCAGGAAAAGCAATCACACACAGAGCTGTAAAATACTAGTTGTGCTGAAGATTTGGACACTAGTGGCATGCTGAAATTGTTGCCTGTACTTCACATTATGTGATGGTGTGTTGACCTCTAGTGGTGAGTGGTTTCAAATCCACATCTCTACACAGGAGAATATTGGCATCTGCTGTTGTATCTCCAATTATACTAATAGTATCCTGCTGCAGCACCGCAGCCACAGAACCGGAAGTGATCAATTTACACACTCAAAAGGTGAACAATAAAATGCATATGACAAAATATACACTTTACCAATCACATCTCCATCATACATAAATGTCTATGTGTGTATATATATATATATATCTCTACATACAATAACACCAAACAAAACAAACATTCTTTAAACATTTTAGGGGGTTGCAAGGAGGGGGAAAAAAATAAAATAAAAATAAGGTACAAAATCTTACCAGTCTTAAAAGGAAAGAGACTCATACATGGTTATACACAATTCCCCAAGGGATTGATTATCTTTGGATAAGTGTTTGAAAGATTCTAAGTATTTTTTACATTCATTTTTAAAGCAATTTAAAGAGGGTTTACTGTTATTCCACTTACTTTTGTGTATATGATATTTACCCATTGTAATAATAATGTTTAACATCAATGACATGTTTTTCGAAAGACCATCTGCACAACCAAAAACCAAAACCTGAAACAAATTTAGTGATGGAATATCAGTGTTGATATCAAAAATGTAGCCAGCTGTAAAGATCCTGCCAGAACTTCAATGTGACTGGACAAGAACAAAATAAATGTTCAATGGTTTCAGGCTCTTCTAAACAAAAAACACAAGGGTGTACTTCAAAACGGAATCGAGGAGTTATTGACAACGAGAGAGCACGGTGAGTAGTCTGTAATGTTTTTGCTATCATATGTTTAATAATTATCGTATATATTACGTTAAACATTTATCTACTAAGTACTTAATGTGTGCTTGGCTTTATTATCTTATATTGACGCTTGAATTTGTTGTCATACTTTATAGTAGCCTATAAAACTTTTTTCTGTGGATGTTTCGTTTAATTTTCGGATGCATGCTGTAAATGGACCTTGCGGTGAAGTTTTGAAGACGTTTATTATTCATAAAAATAAATAGTTTGCTTTACTTTCCTCTGTTATATGCCTTGTTTGTGTGTTAATATTACCTTGTAGTTTAGTTATTTTAATCCTATTTGTCATCATTGAGATAATTGTGTGTGGCTCACCTTATCCCCGGGGGATAAATAAAGTTAATATTAGTGATAATATTACTTGATTAACATTGTGATTTATTATCCCTGTTATAGTATTATTATAGTATCAGATATTTTTTTTTCACCATGTTTTCAAGTTCTCCACCTCAGCTCCAAAAGAAATGTAGAAAGAATGAAAAAAACTGAAAACACTAAATAATTTTGTGCGGATATGGATGTTTACAGAGCAGAGGTCACCTTTTTTAATTCCAAAGGGAGAGATGGACTTTTGTTTGTCTTTTGTTTATTATTATTTTGTGGCGTATTTTTTTGGTTACGGTGTTATTTCTGTTTCAGTTTTCAGCAATAAATAACACTTTAAATTCTAAAGAGTGAGGCCTGATGAACACTAACAATATTCTGTTCAAGCTTCATCAAAGTTTAAGCATTTGCTTATTTACTTCAATACCTGAAAATAGCATGCAGTTTAATAATTATACAATGAGAGTAAACATGAAATCATATATATATATATATATATATATATATACATATATATATATCTACATGTATATCTAGAAATACAGTGAGATTAACCTCTTTTGAACAAAAACAGATGTTTTCTGGCCATTACATCCAGTAGTAGTAGTTATTTATTTTTATTGTCAGCAACTAATCTTCATGGCAAAAACGGAGTTGCAATAATACAAGAGTTACATAAACACAAAATAAAAACCAAGCAAACAGGAAAAATACAGCAGTTAAAATCATCCACTACATCCAGTCTTGTACTGCAACCACTATTAAAGGGTTAGTTCACCCAAAAATGAAAATTAGCCTGTGTTTTGCTCACCCTCAAAGCATCCTAGGTGTATGTGACTTTCTTCCTTCAGACGAATCCAATCGGAGTTATATTAAAAATTATCCTGGCTCCTCCAAGCCTTTCAATGGGGGTAAGCGGGTGTTGGTTGTCAACAGTTCAGAAGACGTTAAAAATAAAGTGCGTGCATCCATAATAAACCGTCCCTCACACGGCATCCGGGGGGTGAATAAAGGCCTCCTGTAGCGAATCCATGCAGTTTTGTAAGATAAATATCCATATTTCAAACGTAATAAACACTTTTTTTCTCACTTCCACTGACTGTCATATGCGGAAGCCGTTCCGGCGGATGACGTAAGACGTCGGCGTTGCGTGATAAGTGACGAACGCGGAGACAAAACAAAACAAAACACCATTCACGAATTAGAAGCACAAAATGAGAATTTGTAAAGAAAAACGTCGGAGGATTTCGATATAAGCCAAGAGGAGACTGGTTTTCCTTTGCTAAAGTAAGGAAACTTTCCTCACACCTCAACAACATACACATAGAAGTTTCACTAAACTGAGATTTTTTTATGAATGTAAAAGACCTCAAGTATAGCATGGTTAAAAAGAAAAAAGAAAACACAACCAGCAAATCGAGGACTTTTTCCTGATGGTTAAATTGGCATGGTTAGCTGCATGCATGGCCACAGGTGGTTGGGCAACACTTCTGTCTGGCAGGACATTGATCATCATGGGAAGAGTTATCAGCACATCGGTCTGAGACATAGACCAGGCCTCACTGCATGGATACAGATAGTCAGATTTAGTCTGTTCATTTAGCAGCATTCAAACTCAACACAGCACAAAACACTCAAAGCATGAACAACAAGTTTCACTTTTAGAGTGAGTTGTATTCCAAGTATTATTGATCTTTATTTTGAAAAGCCATGTGCTTGAAATGGTGCTATGGGCCAAATTCAGGTATTTTGCCATTGAAAATGATAATACTCAAAAACTGTGTGTGTGTTGGGGACCCAAGCAACAATATAACAAATACCTTTATATGGAGGTGTACATTCACGTCCACATATAGTGCTGCAGCATTTCTCATCTTTCGGACAGTCAATGTCATGGGCACACAACTCGGCACACAATCCTACTCCAAGGACTCTCCTTGGACACACTCCTGGCTTTTCTGTTATACAAACACACGACAAGGAAACCAGATCACTGAATACTGAATGACTCAAATCACTGTAATGGGGAAAAATGCTGACCAAAGCATTAGTTTAACATACCTTTATATAGAGCCATACACCGCTGTCCACATCCATTGCTGCAGCACTTCTCATCGTTTGGACACTCACGGTCAAGGGAACACGACTCGGCACGCACTCCTACTCCAAGGTTTTCGCTTGGACACATTCCTGGCTTTTCTGTTATACAAACACGTGACCGAAACCTTATCACTAAATGCCTCACTGCATTTGAAAAATAAATAAATAAAAATATTGCCCCACACATTAATATCATATAAATACCTCTATATGGAGGCATACACTGATGTCCACATCCATTGCTGCAGCATTTCTGATCATTCGGACAGTTACTGTCATGGGAACACATCTCAACACAGAGGCCTTCTCCAAGGTTTTCGCTTGGACACACTCCTGGCTTTTCTGTTATAAAAACACATGATAGAAACCAAATCACTTAATGCCTCACTGCATTCGAAAATGGTAAAAATTCACACTTATTTAACTATATAAATACCTGCATATGGAGGCATACACTGATGTCCACATCCATTGCTGCAGCATTTCTCATCGTTTGGACAGTCACTGTCATGGGAGCACGACTGGACACACACTCTTAACACTGCTACTTCAAGATTGTTTATAGGACACACTCCTGGCTTTGCTGATGTACAAAACATAACAGAAATTCACTCAATAACAAAATTCAGTCCATCTCCTTTCAAGTTTAATTCAATGTGTTGCTTGTGGTTTCTTCGCAATTATTTGTGAAAGTTAACAGCAATTGAGTGAAAACTCACACAACAGAGCCACAAATTACTCTGCATCAAATCAAAATAGTTTAGAAATTTACCAATTACCCCTAAACTGCCATTACAATGTAGAACCTACCCCACTACTGGTGTGGTGTACTAACGCATAGTAATGCTAATATAAAACATGGACATTGGTTAAAATTTTAATACATGTTAATAAATAATTATAATACACAAAGGTTCTTTAGTGGTTCTTTGGGGTGGTTGTGGTGCTATATAGTACAGCTACAGTATAAAGAACCTGTTAAACCCAGTATGGTTCTTCAGTGTGGCAGTGGTGCTATATAGTACCTTAACCACCCCATTAAGCCCCTGTATAGTTCTTGAAAGGTTCTCAAACTCTCTCTTAGTTTAGTTAGAAAGGGTTAAAAAAAAAGACATTAAAATGTGTTTAAATTATGCGGAAGAAATACAATCCCTGATAGCACACGTACATCACAGAGACGTCTATTTGACGTCTGCATTTACATCTGGAAGACGTATTTTTTTTTAAGTGTTTGCTATAGGATGTTTCCTATCAGGTGTCAAATAGACGTTTAGAAGATGTCTTTAAGATGTTTATGATTTAGAATGTATGTAAAACTGACATCTTAAAGACATCTATCAGATGTTTTCCAGATGAAGCGATCTTTAACAGACATCTTGCAGACGTACGTGTGCTGTCTGGGATTGGAGAATAAGAGAAAGCCAAGACATGATTGGCTGTAGTCTTTGAATTAATATGTAAACTGATAAGAGGCTCGACAGTAGGAGGTGTTTGTGAAGTCAGTCATAACTAAATTGTCACACACGTCAATAAAAAGACTATGGGCCTCATTCATGAAACTTGCAGAAATAGGAGTAAATTAGGAGTAATTTGACCGTTAAACAGACATTCCCGAAAATGCCTCCTAAACAGCATTTTGTGGCACAGCGTTGTTCCAGTTGAGACGCGTTGGTTGCTATGATACTAGTATCTCATTTTGAAAAATGTGGTTCAGTCATTGTACAAGTAGGATGGTTGGTCGGTATAGTTTTTGTCCCGCCCCTCCTCCACTGATTGGATGGCTGGGTAAAAAGTGACAAAGACGAGCGCTGGGTTTTACAGTTAAAAAGTTTTCAACTGTCAGCTACCAAAATAAATAAATAAATAAAAGGAACTTGTGAAATATTATGGTAGTGCATCAAAATGCAGTGTCATCAGTTTGCCAAAAACAATACAGAACGTTTAGGCATCGTTTACACGTGGTAGGGAGCAGGTATCTTTCATACAAACTAACATTTTGAAAATAGGAGCATTTCCATGAATGCAAAATTTTATGTCAGAACGGCTTTACGAACTATTTACACACAAACACACACACAAAAAAACGTTCTGCTTGTGTTTCATGAATGAGGCCCTGTGTTCATGTATTAACTGCTGTTATGTAGTCAAATAATTAGGTATAGGTGCCATATAATACCAAAAGAGGTCCTCCTATGATTACGAGCCGAAGAACCACTGCTCATCACTTTATAGATGAGCACACATAATCCATATCTGATATTCATTTTTATTTATTTGACTTTTTAATTTGTAGGCTATATGCAGTTTTTTTTCACTGTGCCTATTAAAAAGTTTGACTGTAGAATGTTTTCTAAAAAAGTTCAGTATGTTATTTGTTATTTATCTGTATATAATCCTGTTAAAATGGAGGCTGGTCTTGGGCATTAAAATCATGGACTGAAAATAGGCCCCACTCCAGCCCTGTTTCTAAGCATACGGTATTTTTATAATAAAATAACTTCATTTCTTTTTGTGCTAGAACAGACAAATACAGGAAAAAAACCCCGTCAAAATTCATGCTTGCCAAGTATTCACATAGATACAATTAGCTCCAGTGGTGCAATTCCCGGGGCGGTGGGATGGGGATTGAAAAAAAATGTGGAAAAATGACCTCTTCAGCCTAATACTTTATTTTTGACTATACAATCTCTATTCCGTTCCTGCTGAAAGG